CCTGGTTCTGCTGCAGGTTTCTTCCTGTTAAAAGGGAGTTTTTCCTCTCCACTGTCGCTACAAGCATGCTTAGTGTGAGGGATTGTTGAAGAGTCAAGGAGTCGATGCAATGAACCTGGTTGAATAGAAAACTTTGAATGAATCTGCATGGATGATCTGTGTTGTGAATTGGCGGCATAGAAATAAACTGAGTTGAACTGTACTGCTTGCCGGTCAGCGCAGCGGGGGGGGTCGCGGGTTGATGGGATGGGGTCAGGTCTGTGGGCCACAGATCCAGGAGGATAGTGTATTTATTAGCAGTGTAAGAATATGTTTAGTGTCTGCCCATGTGTCTCCGTGCCTGTATATGTCTGTATAGGTGTTTGGATTGTATGAATGTGAATGGATGAAAGTGAATTTTCTTTGTCTACTTGTTGGGTGTTTTCCTCCCACCCCCACCGAATGAACATCCTAGCCCCATCCTAGCCCTAGCCCCAAGTATGAGCAGGGCCTGTCTGACCCTTCCCCCTGCCAATGACAGGTGCCTGTGTCTGCTGTTATGCTGATGGTTCTCTAAGTGCAGAGTTGGGTACTTGTCCTTCAGAGACCAGGCACCACTGGGAGGTCAACGGTTGTTTTCGTCTGCCCTTCTCTGGTGGGAGTGGCTATCCCAGTGTCTGCCCTTCTCCTGTCCGAGTAATCTCAGATGCCGTCTCCCCCCTTTATCGATCTTTAGACGTGTGGGGTGAGTCTGGGGCCACCCACACCTGCTTTTGAGCATACATTCATTCTGAAGAACCTTTGTATATCCTTTATACACGAACATGCCCATGCATACATACCAGAGGAGATTGGTTCCAGGTGTTCAGGGATACACTCTAATACTAATTACTAAGTTACAGCTACAGATAAATACCAACCTGAATAATATTGTGTAATCGCCATCAGTTTTCCCTCCCACACACATGGATATCTAAGGGATACCCGCTGCTCTTGAGATCTGTTGTCTTTTTTTGCTGTTTTTAAGTGTCCCTCTCATCTCATAAAGGTGTGGAAGCAGAGTTGTAGGAGTTACTGTATAATTTCTGTGTTGTCACTCTTTGCTGTTTTGCTTTGTTTTCTCTATTTTAATGCGCCATTTCCTGTCCTTATCTCTGAATCCCTCTTTCTTCCTCTCCTCCATTCCCATCTCTGTGTCTGTTGTATAATATTTTACTCCCTAAATACTTTTCAACAAAGTGGAAAGAAAAAAAGGGCCTTTATTATAATACCATTATAAGTGCATTTGAAACATTTAGTAAAAAGAAATGTTGCTTTCTCGGGACAATACCGCTATACTATGCTTGGATTCATTGAGCCATTTTCTTTCACTTGGTATAAGTATTTTTAAAAGTAATCTGCCAGGATGAGTTTATACACTTGAGGCCCCCAGGAGTGACAAAAGCACCTGACCTTAGAAACTAGGACTCAATATTCAGACAGACAGACTAGGACAATTTATTTTTAAACCAAAAGATTGCAGCGATTGGGCGTAATCGGGGCGGATACTCTGCAGAGATAGAAGACACAGGTCAGTGACAGGAATGTGGGACTGATCATGACTTGGAGCAAAAGTCTATGACCTGAATCAAAGTTCAGTCCACTGTTTGCAGTCATGGCTGCTTCTAGAACTCAAAGCGAAGATGAGCTGCGCCAGCCGACGCTGATGGAGCAACAGTGTCCATGAGGGGAATCCAAGCCTGGACTGTGTCAGTGACACAGTCCAGGATTGGTAACCAGGAAAAACAGGAAAAAGCCAAAACAGACAGAGGCAAGGCAAAAACTCAAATATTCAAAGCAGAAAACAGGTCAGGGTCAGAACAACATAACAGATGCACTTGATTGCTAGAGTTACTCTTTCAACATCTTTGGCGCTGATGGAAGGCAGGCAAACATCATAAATAGCTGGGGAACCAGGTGGAAACAATTGCCGTTAATCAGCCGCCGGGCGAATTAGACAGGTGAACAGGAGCAAATGAAAAAGCCAACCATCAGTGCCAAGACCATGACACCTGAATGAAACTATTTTAATGGGTAAGTGAATGTTCTTGCGCATTTACTGTATCATCTTTGAGAAAAGTTTTCATATATCGTCATAATATTCATCCTGTTTTGTGTACATTAAGTCAAAGTTGAACAATGATTTACCTTGGGGGTCATAACAAAGATCCGGGCTGCGCTCTGTACAAATAGTGTATGACAATGATAAGATCGCTCAAGTAGTTCTACAACCCAAACCTTTTGTTCTGTGCAACATTACAAAACTAGTTCAACAGGACATAACCCCACCCAGGTCCTGACTGGACTTGCCTGAAAACAGTAAAATACTTTCACTTAGAAGACAAGCCAACACTGAGCAAGACTGTCAATTTCAAACAAAGGATCTGAACCTGAAACGAGAGAAGGGCTGCAAAGAAATATAAAGAAAAAACAAGAAGGACTGTAAATACCGTGAGTATAGATGATGCAAGAGTGGATGAGAGAGTAGAGAAAATGCAAACTCACTATCTAACCCCTTTTCTGTTTGTCTCCCAACTTAGAGAAAAAAATGTCTTCAGCAGAGGTGGAACCTGTCTGTAATCTGCACGATGAGAAATTAAAACTCTTCTGCCATGATCACCAGCAGCCTGTGTGCACTATCTGCAGGGACTCGAAAGTGCACAATAACCACAGATTTACCCCGGTAAACGAGGCTGCTCAGGATCACAGAGAAGAGCTCACGGGTATCCTCAGCCTCCTGCAGGACAAGCTGAGATTCTTTGAACAAATTAACGGAAATTACAATAAAACCGACAAACAAATCCACGCTCAGTCTCAGCATGCAGAAAAACAGATTAGGGAGTGCTTTAAGAAGCTTCGCAAGTTTTTACAAGAGGAAGAAGACGCCAGGATCGTAGCTCTGAAGAGGGAAGAGGAGCAGAGGACTCAAATGATGAAGGAGAAAATCAGCTGTCTTGGAAAAGACATAAAAACACTTTCAAAAACAGTCCAAGCTACAGAGAAAGAGCTCAGGGCTCCAGATGTCGTGTTTTTGCAGAACTACACGACTGTAGTGGAAAGAGCTCAACAGAGTCTCCTGCTGGATGATCCAAAACTGATCCCAGGAGCTCTGATGAATTTACCCACGCACTTAGGAAACCTGGACTTCAACATCTGGAAAAACATGAAGCAGATTGTCAGCTACTCACCCGTGGTTCTAGACCCAAACACTGCTCACACAGACCTCATCGTATCTGAGGATCTCACCAGTGTGAAACGTGAAAAGAAGCAGAATCTTCCAGAAAACCCAGAAAGGATTCAGTCCTATCCTTCCATCCTGGGTTCAGAGGGCTTTGACTCAAAGATTCACAGCTGGGATGTTGAAGTGGGCGACAATCCTGTGTGGTCGGTGGGGGTATTAGCTGTGTCTGCCCAGAACAAGGTGAGCGACCTGACCAAACTACTGAAAATATCTTTTTGTGATGGGGTATACACAGCCGACTCTGGGACAAATCGTCCGGTGGACCTCACAGTCAAAAAAAAGCTCAAGAAGGTCAGATGTTACCTGGACTGTGACAAGAAAAAACTGTCATTCATTGATCCGGACACAAAAGGAAACATACACACATTTACAATCAGTTATACAGAGCGGCTCTTTCCATACTTTAACACCGTGAACGCTCATCCGCTGAAGATAGTGGCAGTAGGGGTATCTGCTGAGCCGTGTTTGGACAAGAATTAGTGTACATCTTCATCTTTGGAGTTTAGCTTTTACTTTTTAGTTCCTCTTGTTGTTTTGAATGTAAATGCTTCGGGACAATGGACCCATTCAGCCGTCACATGCATGACGCATCAGAAATTATCTAAACCTAAACAATCAGGATCTGGTGGTTGGTCCTGTTTTCTCTTAACAAAAGACTGCTGACATTTAAAAAAAATATTTTTATCTAAAGGGTAAATAAGTTCACACACATATAATGTTCGCTTTTTTCTTTATATTATTGATTTTTAAAAAAACTTATGTACATAATTGTTTTAAATGATAAACATGATAAATGAGAGGAAGAATATCTGTGCATATAAATAATAAAATATATATATATATATATATATAAAGCCTCTGAATGTTTTAATCTATTTGTAAAAAAAATGTCAAATGAAAAAATTGTCCTTTTTTTTTTTTTACACCTTGTTTGAATGTACGTTACCATGGTTGCACTGCTAATTCAAATGTTAAATATTTCTGTTGTGTTAAAGCTGATAACTACAAATGAAACTTTCCAGTAGGTGGCATGCTTTCGCATTCTTTACCAGGGTTGCTGGTTCCGCTAATGCTGAAGCTAATCAAACATTTTATTTACTTTTCATAAGTAGCATTAACCTCTGCGTAGCTTCTGAGCCCCGTTATTTTCATAAAGCAGGATGAGTATGAAGGCAGGGATCTTTCATTGTGCTCCACTGGTTCTGGTTGGAAAACCAAGTTTTTTCTTCAAATGTTCTGTTATACTTAATTGGAATAAATTCTGTTAAAACTTGATATGCTTTTTCTTTTCTTGCATTACATGGAGATGACATTTATTCCCTTAGGAAGAAAGGACCGAGGATCAAACAACAATTGAGCTCTGTGATTTCAAAAAAGTTAAAAATCAATCCACTGGACTTTGTTTCCACGTTTGAAGACGTTTCTCTTCCATCCAGGAAGCTTTTTCAATTCAAAATGTCAGGAATAGCGTTAAATTCGAGGTTTTATCCAGCAGCCCAACAAAGCCTGGTTTTAGTGTAGAAAACATGCAAATAGAAACGGATAAAGGGTCCACCCCTTTGGAATGGGGGACGTTTGGCTTCCTTTGTTAGCCTGCAATGCCCCATACCTGTCTATGACATATTGAGCCATATTTATATGACACATTGAGCTTTTTGTCACATAAATTCAATCTAATATTCCTATGACTGCAGAATCCTTTTGTTTTGATATTGACATCATAACCAGAAGTAAACATTTGTATATTTTGGACCTGTCAAAATTTATAAAGCTATTATTTAATGCTATATTTTTTCAGTGCAATCAATAATTTTATTCTGCATCTCTCCGGACGTTCTTTAAATGTATCATTTCTTTCAATGATTTTATTAAAAAGTTATTGCAATGAGTGAGTTACTTGATGTTATAACAAGTGGGTTACCACACTAACTTACTTGGTGAAGTAAGTTAGTAATGAAAAAATATATACTGTGGTATGTGGTAATTACAAAATAAGCAACAACTTATTTACTTGGTAGACAAAGTTACGTCTATGATGAAATAGAGAAATTTAGACAACAGGTTCCCAAAATGTTTTATTGTTGCAGAACCCAAACATCACTTCAACCTGGAGAGACTCACACGGAGGAAAGTTGCAATTAGAAAATATCCAATTTCTTTATACAGGTGATCATATCCTTCAAAATATTTCTATCTCAGGAAAACCAGCTGATTGACTGGTTGACTGTCTGCAATCCCTCAAACTTATGCTTGTAGCGACAGTGGAGAGGAAAAACTCCCTTTCAACAGGAAGATACCTCCAGCAGAACCAGGCTCAGTGTGAGCGACCATCTGCTGAGGCCCACTGGGGTTCAAGGAGACAGAAGCAGACATAGAAAAAGAAGCATAGATACAAAAGGCAACTGTCAACCAGCTCCANTGATGAAAAAGGGGTCCCTATGTCCTCCAGCAGTCTAAGCCTATAGCAGCATAACTATAGAGATAGCTCAGGATAACCTGAGCCACCCTAACTATTAGCTTTATCAAAAAGGAAAGTTTTAAGCCTAGCCTTAAAAGTAGACAGGGTGTCTGCCTCACGGACTAAAACTGGTACAGATTTATAAGTACAAATGTCAAATTTATGAGTAAAAATCCCAAATTTACAGATCTAAATACAAAATCTATGAGTCTAAATCAAAGATTTATGAGTGCAAATCATACAGTTACAATTACAAATACATGAGCCTAAAATCACACATTTAAAAGAATGAGTCTACGCCTGATGAAGGTGCTACTCTCCTTACCCGCTCCTGGCAGCAATGCACCTGAAAGTGGCTCCCCAACAAAATTTAAATGAGGAGAAGAGGAAAAAAAATACCAAAACAGAGCCACTTACCAATTATTATACTGCTGAATACTGAAAACAACATTTCAGCAAAAATATAACATGACCCTCATTTTCTGGCTAGGCCATTACGCCAGAGCAACACACCAGGGTTCCCGCATCAGAGACAATTTCCTCATTTTCTGGCAAATAGAGACATGTTTATGGGGTTAGCGACAAGCTCGTGAACACGCTGCCATGAGGGGACTTATATCCACTAATAAACACATATGTTGACATGTGACTAAATGAGGTTTTGCAGGATGAGCACAGAGAGGAGGACTATGATTGTGCAAAAATCCTGGATGCACTGCAAGCTATTTAGGATTATGATGCAGGCCTGTAATCATAATAACGAATGGATCCACAGCAGCTATTGATGAGTGTTATAATAAAAGGACATTTTCTTCACAGTGAAGTTTATTCTGTAAAATGATGGGAGGAAAAAATGCTATAAAGGACTTGAAAGAGCAGAGATGTGGTGCACTGAAGGAAAGCATAAACAATAAACAGAAAAAGAAAAAAAAAACACATAAGAGACATCAGGGCAATTATGTGTGAATGTCTTTCATCATGGGAGCCATGCACAAACTTCAAACAAAACAGCATTAGAACGTCGTCGTTAGAGCTACACATTTTCTGCAGACAAAAGTAAACTGTGCACTCACTGCTTATTGCACACTAATATATTGTTTTTATGTGAATTTCTTTGCTCATTTAAAATTTTCTTTCATGTTTTATTCTCACAATGTTGAAGACTGCTCCTTTTTATTCCTGGGGAGTTTTCACAGACCCAAACAAAACTCAGAGGATAATCACTCTGAGGCCTTTCACAGATATTTATGTCTAAAACAGAACTGTGTGTTATTACAGGTCTTTAATATGTCAAAAAGAAATAGTTGTACAATATCAGCGTATGCAACAGAAAATGTTGCATACGCTGCAACATTCACATAAGAAAAATATGAGTAATATATTATTCAATTGTAAGATCATCTATATTGTTACTAATTGTATATATTTTTCTTGATGGTAAAAATTGAAATGCGTTCATGGGCGGTTCTAGACAGGGGCCAACAGGGACCGGTGCCCCTGTAGATCATGTCCTGGCCCCTGTACTGATCACATAATACTCAAAGAAATTCTAATAGGAACAGACATGGTTACTGATTTGGATCTATTTCATTTCTTTTTCTTTACAAATTCTCTTTAATAATTATGTAAAAACAATAAGGTGATAGCTTCAGTAATATTGAGATAGTATCCCGGTTTTCATCTGCTAAATGTTTTTTTCAAAATAAATAAAAATAACTTTTTACTAATATACTAATTTTTACAGCTGAATCACTTAAATTAAGTAAAAAATATGTAAAATACCTAAATTATGAATTTATATGTGTCATGATTTTGTCTAAAGCTCGGACCCACATGCAGTGAAACCAATTCAGAGAGACACAGATGAAAAGTTTAACAGGTTTTATTGAAGAGATTAAGCACGGTTCGGTGTTGCTCAGAACTCTGCTCTGCCAGAACTGGAAGGTGAGGGGAAGGCAGACTATTAGTTCAGGCTCAGTGGGAAATTTCATTTGTTGATTTGAAGCAGAGGATCTGGTTGTTGACTCACGTTTCCAGAGAAGTGAAGGATCTTTGACTCCAATCTGTGTGTTGTTTTCCAGAGTTTGTCTGACTTGGTGGAGGGCGGAACAGAGTTTACCCAGAACTCGGACGGTTTAGGCGAACGGAGATGCTGACTGCCACTCAGATTTCCTGCTGTACTTGAACGGGTCGTGGTGAAGATGATTCCCTTGCTCAGAGAGTAATTTCAACGTTCTCAAGGAGACTGGATCCAAACCTCCTGTTTGAATCCCTGGCTCAGTTTAAGACTCAGTTGATCCCTCCTGGGAGAGGAGGTCCGAAAAGGTCC